TATGTTTAAAGGGAGAAATACAAGGAGTAAGGGAGACCCTCACGCTGAGTCACTCGGTTTGTGACGAGCGTGTGGAGAACCAGCAGGTTTTCAAGCACTTGTAGAGGTCAGGACAGTCCTGGCCTTATGTGGGCACTGAGGGCACTGGCTGAGGCACCTGCAGAGCTGCCCTGTCACCTGTGAAAGGTGATGGAGATCAGCAGAGTCCGCCCAAGGCACATGGGTCACCCATGTTAAAGATGAGTGACTTTTGTATCCTTTTAAGTGCTTTTTCCTGCTTAGGGAATTTGAAGAACACTGGTGCATTACAAAGAGAACCTCATCAGAGCAGCAAATAGGAATCCAAGCATCATGTGTGAGTGACTGTGTTCCTGCTGTTGTTGCCCCTGTGGATGTTGGAACGATGGCGTGTCCTCCGCACCCCTGCATAGCTCTGATTCCAGAAGGAGAACATGTTGGATGTGGGAGCTAAGGGCCCACTGTGGGCATACGAGTGGGTCTGTGAACAGAGAGTATGGAGCAGAAAGACTGGCAATAGCTTATGGATGTGCCTGCCCTTGAGTGACTTCAAGGCAATGAATGAGCTTGGAAAAACCTCTGGATGTTAGGCTCACAGCCTGCCTGGGTGCAGAGATGAGGATGATGTCACCCGTGGAGCCCTCCTGGCAGTGCTATTCCCTCTTGCCCGGGACTGAACCCCAGCCTGGCTGCAGGTGCAGGCTGAGGCTCAGCAGGCTCCAATCTCCTCATGTAGTCGTGTCCTGCCTTACCCTGGCACGGTGTGGGGACCTGCAGAGAGCCCAAGGGGTTTGGAAGGCTGCCTTGGTGAATGATGGCTCATCCATCTCCCTGAGCTGCCAGCAGGGAGCCACTCTTCTGGTGGAGGGATGTGGTGGACAGATGCCTGTCTGTACTGAGGTGATGTCAGCTGTAGTGCCAGGACCTTGCCTTGCTCCATGGATAATGGGCTTGGAGCTGGTATTGTGGAGAAGGCTGCTTTCTTTAGGAGAGACAACTCCTTGTTTACTCGCCTGCTGTAGTGAGGATATCCTTCCTTGGTGGTGTGTTGACAGCAGGCACGAGGATGGCAAAGGGAAGGTAGAAAGCACAGGTAAGGGATTTACCCATGGATGCTGTTTGCTTGATTTCCTTATTTCTTTTCTTCCCTCCCCCATTTAGATTACCAGAAAATTCAGGCTCAATTCTGATGGGAAACTCGAACAAACTGTCTCAATGGCAACCACTACGCAGCCCATGACTCAGCACCTCCACATTACCTACAAGAAGGTGACACCCTGATGCCGGGAGTGCTGGGTCTCCTTGGGCAAGGAGCAGCAGCAGCTCGGGAGCACAGTAGGGCAGACCCTGGAGCCTGCTGCCTGCACTCATCCCCTGGGCCCCGGAGCTGCCCGTCCTGTTGAGAATGTTATTCAGATCTTTCTGTAATGGTATATAAAAAAAAAATAAATAAAAAGCTTTTATTTTTATGGCTGTGTCTTTGGTGTGATTGCAGGGTGGTGTGTGCCTCCTGCTGCTTGGCAGTGCTTACAGAGGGCTTTGTGCTGCTTGTTCCTTAGTAGGTGTTGCATGAGAGATCCAAACTCCTGGATGACCTGGCTAACACTGGAAAAGCAGAAAGTTCAGGAATGGATTTGCACTGCAGGGACAGACTCTGAGAACTTGAGAGCCTGTCCAATGAAACTTGACTTAATTATTGGGAGGGAGCACCTTCTTGCTGTGGGACAGAGGAAACTGTCGCAGGCCCTGATCCCAGTGGTGCAGTCCAGCAGTTTGAAGGGAGTTGGTGCAGTGCTGGAGGCCAGGGCCAAACCTTACTGAGCTTCAGTGCATAATATCACAAGACCTTAAGGGATAACTGTGAGGGGGTCTCCTCTGTACAAACCTACAGCCCCTCCCTTCTTGGGGCCATCTCCAAGAGCTGTGCAGTGGCCATGTGTCCCGAAGGGCTCCAGGCCTGTCCTGCTCCCTCCCCTCCGGCAGACTCGGTTGCTGGGGGAGCTCCCAGTGTTGGGGCTGAGCTGCTGCCCATCCTTCCCTACCGCCTTGGCAGCCAGTCCTTCCCCGGGATAGGCTTCAAACTTAGCTGTTGAGAGCACTGGGGGCTGTGTCTGCCCCAGCCAGGGCAGCTGAGCATTGGGTGAGGCTGCTCAGGGAGAGCATGGCCTCGGTGCCTTCTTCCCTGGAGGTGGATGCACAGATGGAAATCTCGTGGAGGAGTAGGTGGGAAAACACTGGCAAGCAGGAGGTGAGTTTTTAGTATTTTAGTATTTCCCAGCAGCTCCCTCTGGAGGTCCCAGGCTACCTCTAATGCATCCCTTGGAAGGAGGCATCCTTCATGGGAACTCCTCAGAGAGAGAGGCACAAACAATATCTTTGGGGTGTGGGGGGAAGAGGCAGGAGAGACCCCCTTCCCCTGGCAGACCAGGGCACATGTCCTCCCTTGCCAGGGCATTGGAATGCCTTCCCACCTGAGGAGAGAGGCATCCTCCATGCTCTGCTGCAAGGTTCCTCCTTTGGAGCACAGGACAGCCTCCGGCACCCACAGCCAAGACAGCACCACGATGGCTTCTGGGAGGACTGAGCCCGAGTTGGGTCACAGCTGAGAGAGACCTGGAGTGAGGGGTTGATCCCAGCAGAGCCTCCCCAGCACTGGCAGGAGGTTTGCTGCTCTTTGGCAGGAAAAAGCATTCTGGCTCACAAATTGAATGTGACCTGGGGCACAGGACGTGTGTGCAGGCACAGCCTCAGAGGGCAGACAGAGTCCTCCCTATTCCCACTTCCATCCTCCCACTGTCGCAAATGGATGTTAACTTGCTGGGAATTGCTCTCAGCCTTGCTGGTTTTTAGCTAGGCTTTTAGGAGGAGCAGTGGGAACCACCCCAGTGCTGGCTCCAGGCAAGTCCCACTGGACCATGGTGGTTTTGGCATGTGCAGAAATGAAATAAAAGCCCCGGTCTCTGGAGAACCAGCCAGCAGAGAGCGGATGAGCATTCCCATTAATGTGTCATTAGTGTGCAGCTCTGGCGTCGGCTCTTTTGGCATGCTTGGAGGTAATTACAACCAAACTGTAAAGTGTTGCACATGGATTTATTTACTGCCTTATTAGTGGCATCTGTTCTCCCAGCAAAGCAGCTCAGCTGTTTGCTCTTGTTTAGGGCAACCAGCATGGATGGTCTGTGCACACTCACATCCTTGGGCTGGAAGGTGTGCTAAAGGAGGTGACTGCAGCACTGCCTTTGCGTTTGGATCCTGCTTGTTGGTTTAATGCCTCGCCCCAGCTGAGCCCATTGCAGCCTGAAGGGGCACAGGGCTTCACCCCAAACCTGAAGGATGTGGATCTCCATTTTAGATCCAGCAGCATCTCTTTTCCCAGCTGTCTCCCAGCACTGCCCCATGATGTTTTACCATCATAAAATCACAGAATCATGGAATCATTAAGGTTGGAAAAGCCCTCTAAGATCATCAACCCACCACCGCTACCATGTTCACCACTAAACCATGTGCTCAAGTGCCACATCCACACTTTTTTTTGAATACATCCAAGGATGGTGATTCCACCACTGCCCTGGGCAGCCTGTTACAATGCTTGACAAGCCTTTCAGTGAAGAAATTTTCCCTAATATCCAGCTTAAACCTCCTCTGGCACAACTTGAGGCCGTTTCCTCTCATCCTGTCCCTTGTTCCCTGGGAGAAGAGCCCAACCCCCACCTGGCTCCATGCTCTTGTTAGGGAGTTGTGGAGAATGAGAAGGTCCCCTCTGTGCCTCCTTTTCTTCAGGTTGAGCCCCCCCAGCTCCCTCAGATGCTTCTCATCAGGCTTGTGCTCCAGACCGTTCCTCAGCTCCATTGCCCTTCTCTGGACACGACCATCTTCTCCAGCAAGAGCCATGGGGATGGCTGGGTGCTGTAGGACCCTCAGCTCGCTCTGAGCCGCAGTCTCCCAGGCTCCCAGTTGTGTCCCTGCCACTGAGCCACTGCAGCCAAATCACTGCTGTAGCATCCACTGCCTTGGCTGCTGGCCTGACCCGGCTTTGCTGCTTAGCACATTTCCCAAGGAAGATGGATGCTGGCTTTGTTAAGTGAATCTTGTGGCAAATGCAAGTTAAGTGGCTGTAAATCCATTGGAGACTGGATTCATTAAGGGCACAGAGAGTAATGGGAGGAGGAGAGCATCTGGAATGGGGAGATGGGAAGCACCAGCCAAAAGGCTTTTGTCACCTGTGGTGTTACATGAGGTTCCTCAATAAAAGTTCATGCCTGGCCTGTGCTGACCAAGGCGCCAGGCTGGGATGCAAAGGATGGAATTACAAGGGTAAATATTTCTTCTTGGGCCTGAGATGTCCCAGCCAAATCAGGGCACCCAAATGTGGTTTTACATGGGGTTCTCACACCCATCAAACGCTCAGGTACAACACGACTTGACTGAGCACTAACACCCACACTACCAAATCTCCAATCACAGTAAAACGTGGCAAAGCCGCTCTGTTTCTGCAGCGTTCTGCTGCTTATCTATCGATCCAGGTGTCCCTGAGTCCCCCTGGCTGCAGTGACTGACCTGTGACACTGGACGACGCTGGGAGGGTCTCAGAGCCCTGTCGGAGGGGTGGGATGCAGCGGCACCCTGGGTGTCCCAGGGATGTTCTTCATCCCTTGGGGACTGTGTTGAGCTTTGCAGAAGCAAAATTCTTCTCTCCAGGGCTGGGCTGTCCTTTCATTTGTTTTACTTCAGCACAAACAATACCAAAGTCTCCAGTAAAATTCACTGCCTCATTACATTGCAGTGGATCATTAATATATATAGAGTGTGTACATATATATATATATATATGCACACACATACATAAAGTTAATACACTTTCGTAATATAAAGGCTGTTTGACAGTTAGGGAAGGGATTTTTCGTCACACTTGCCAAGCCTGCAACGCACCCGAGCCTCCATCAGCGCCGCCGCTCCTCTCCGGCAGCATCCGTGTGCTGGGGTCCCAGCAGCCCCTGGGACCCGAGAGAGGCTCGGGATGGAGCGTCTCGCCCCGCGTGGAGCTGACGGCAGCGGGACTGCGGGTAGTGGGGAGCGTGACTCAGCCTCTCCAGCAAACTCGGGGCTTGCCTAGGCGCTGCAGCTCCTCGGCAGGGATCGCTTCCGCAGCCTGATTTGCTGGGAAGCTGCCAGCCGCCTGCCACCTCCTCCTCTCTGCAGGCAGCTCTGCCCTATTCTCCGCTCGTCGCCTGTGTCTCCAGTGACAAAATGACTCGCCGGAGGAGAGGGACGAGAGGCTGAATCCCTGTGGCAGGAGCGGAGCGGAGTAGCCGGTGATGCGGCCGGAGGATGCTGCAGGGAAGGTACGGGCAGCCGCTCCGGTGGTGCCGGCGGAGGGGAGGGCGATGGGCAGGTTCACAGGCAGTTGTTCGGCTTTGCACCCCGTCCCGATGGGTGCTGAGACCACCCTGTGCGCCCGAGGGGTGACCTGATCCCCCAAGCTGGGGCGGCAGGCAGCGTGTGCTGCGGGAGAGACTCTGTCCTTGTCCCTGAGCTCCTAAGGACGTGTATTCCAGGTGTGAAGCCCAGTTGTCTCTCCCGAGGTGCCCATGGAGGACTCAGGGTGGGAGCCCTTCCTGCATGGGCTTATGAGCTGCCTCTGTCCATGCCCCAAGCCCCCATCACCCTTCCTGCCTTGGGGGGCCACAGGCAAGAATTAAGGGTGCATTTGACCTTATTTTGACAACTCTTTCTCAAGAAATCAGATCTGCTGCGGGTTGTGCTGATGCAGAAAGCCAGTCTGCCAAAATTTGCCTCCCAAGGTCAGTGGGGCTGTGTAGATCCCAAGGGGGAGGCTGATAAAAGGGCTTTCCCTTGCTGCTTCATGATTTTTCTTCACCACTCCTTGTTCCCACAAGGACTCCCCACCCTTGGGTGTGATTCAGAGTCTGGCTTGTAGAAAGGCAGCCAAAATCCTCCTTAAACCCCACAGCTTGGCCAGAGCATCACCTGAGCTTGATGCTTCCTCTGTTACCTAATCCCAGCTCCCCTGAGAGGACACCATGCCCCTTTGGGGGACACCATCCCCCTTTGCTCCAGCAGCTCTCCCATCTCAGCAAAGGGGGCTATGAGTGTTCAGTGGGGGCTCAGGAGTTTTGCAGCCCCCACCATGCAGGGAGCCAGTGTGCACCTCAGGGCTCTTGGGGCACCTTTGCAGGGGACACTGGACCCTGCACAGAGGAGCACCTTGTCTCTGCAGCCAGTGTGTGTCTATACAGGTTTTCCATGCAGGGCCACACTCGGGCTGCTCACACAAGAGACCTAGTTCCTGCTCTCCCTGCTGCCAGAAATATCCCAGCTGCCTGCAGCAGAGAGCAGGCAAGGAGAGCTGCAGGCTGGCAGGCTGAAGGTGGTAGGGGCAATTTGTGGACACCTCAGGGCAGCACGGTGCACACCAAGGCTGGTTCACCACCCACGTGGCCCCTGTGTCAGGATCGTGGTGAGGGGATGGCAGGTTTCCCAGGGAACAGTCTCCACCCAGGGAATGATGGATAGAGCTCCTTGGTGCTTTCAGTTCATGGGTATCCTACTTTGAAGGCCCCTTTGGACGGCGCTTGGAGCAACCTGGTCTAGCAGAAGGTGTCCCTGCCCATGGCAGGTGAGGGTGGAACAAAATGAGCTTTAATGCCCCTTCCAACCCAAACCACTGTGTGATTCTCTGATTCTCTTCTGCTGCACTCAGGATGGGGATGTTCAGGACCTCCCAGCCTAGAAACAGGAGAGAGGAGGCTGAGAAGCACAAGACACAGGAGCCATGTCCGTGCGTGGCCGGTGCGCCAAGGTGCTCCCCTCCGAGCTGAACAAGGTGTGCCCTGAGAGAGGAGATGACCCTGCCACACACCCCAGGAAGATGAGTGACTTTGAGGTGGTCCCCAACCTGCAGCAGAGCAGTAGCAGCGTCTCGAAGAGCAGGCGGAAGGCACATTTCCCCACTGGCAGCAATGAAAAGGCAAGTTCAGGAGGTAACAGAAGACGGGGTGGTTGGGCACACACATGGGCTTAATGAGTGCTCATTAACAGGAGCATTAATAACAGATCAGATTAGTTTTAGGGACAGACAGAAAAACCCCAAATATCTGAGGTACATGCTCAGCACTCATATCCCCTCTCCTGGGGGTACACGTGGCTTTGTCCTTGCAGACAGCGATGGAGCTTTCATCCTTCACATCCAAGGAAGCACCCAGATGTGCTCCCACCACCTGGGTGTCTGGCCTCTGGCACAACTTCTGGCCCTTTCCAGGAACCCTGACCCCTTACTGCTTTTCCTGCTCCCTCAGGAAAATCTCATCTCCTGGATTCCTGAAAACATCCGGAAGAAGGAGTGCACCTACTTTGTGGAAAGCTCCCAGACATCAGATTCTGGGTAAGTCAGACAGTCCCTCCTTCCCCTCCCCTGCCAGGAGAGCAGAAGCAGGTGTTGGTGACAAAGCTACAGCACCAGAAAATCCCACCTTTCTGTCACAGGGATTCACAAATCCCTTTTTAACTGGTTCTTCACCTTGCTGTGTGTCACCACATGGCTGAGATTCTGTGTCCCAGGCACCCTAACCCTTACCAATGCTTTTGCAGGCAGTCACTTCAATCCCGAATATTTGTGTGCTAAATCTCTACAGGTGGAAATATCTATTCTTTTTTTCCTAATTTTCCCCCCAAACAACACCTTTGTTTCTGCACGAGTTCTGAGCTGGAGGAGGGGCTGGGTGGGAGGTGTGGGTACCCATGGTGTTCCTAAGGAGAACAGGAGGGCTGGGCTTGGGCCTTTCGAGTTTCAGCTGTTCTTGACAAAGTTGGTGTGTGTTTCAGGAGGATCGTGTGTGAGTGTGGCTACCTCAGGGAACAGCACCTGGACGATGGTGCCAAGCCTCCCATCTTCCTGGGGAAGGAATGGGACCCCAGCAGGCACATCCAGGAAATGCCAACGGATGCCTTCGGTGATATCCGCTTCACGGGCCTGGGGCAGAAGACAGGGAAGGTGACTGGTTTGTCCCACCTGTGGTGGATGGGGAGCCAGTGTTTGGACCTTGCCATGGTGGATGGCGTGGGAGTACTTCCCTCCTGAGTGAGAGAATATTAGAAAAGGGTGAGATTGCCCCAAGGGCAACACTGACCCAAGCAGAGGAGGGGGATGGGACAGGAACCCTCTTCCCTCTCAGTCTTAGTCCATTTCTGAAACCACAAGGCTGCTCTTCACACTGTGAGACCTGTGATTAAAGGAGTGGCTGTTCCCTGTCCTTGTCCTTAGGTTTGTCTTGGGAATGTTCGTTCACAGGGAAGCTAATGGGAACAGGGTCATGGACAAAGACCTGGAGCAGCAGCAACATGACTATGCTGGGAAATGGTGTTGGGAAGCCTCATGCTCTTTGGTGGGAAGGGAGGAATTGTGGTAGAGGTGGCCTGTTACCCTGACCCCATTGTTTATACCCAAAATATGTATATGCTCCCTTTTTTTTGCAGTATGTGCGTGTCTCCTCCGACACCCCTCCACGGGTCATCTACCACCTCATGACACAGCACTGGGGCCTCGACGCACCCAACCTGCTCATCTCAGTCACCGGGGGAGCCAAAAACTTCATCATGAAGCCAAGGCTGAAGAACATCTTCCGGCAAGGGCTAGTCAAGGTGGCCCAGACAACAGGTAAGAGATCACAGAATCATAAAATCATGGAATCATAGAATAGTTTGGGTTGGAAGGGACCTTCAAAGGTGATCTGGATGCAGAGGGTCTCCCTGTGATGGTAGTGGGTGAGAGACATGTCACCTGGCCATGCCAGGTTCCCTGAGTTGGGCTGTTCCAGAGATGCTGAGCTGGTCCAGGAGACCTGTAGGTCTCTGCCTGGACCACCTCCACCAGGGATGGGCTGTTCCTGCTCAGTCACTGCAGGCAAGCTCAGAGGGAGCTGGACTGAGAGAGGTGCTGAAGAAGGCATCTCCTGTGCTGCCAGGGCAGGGATGGACCATCCCTGAGGACCTGCAGGAATAAGGGGGATGCTTGGAGATTGCTGTGAGCAGAACCTCTCCCTTTCCATGCCCTTCTGTGACCCCCAGGAGCCTGGATCATTACAGGGGGGTCCCATGCTGGTGTGATGAAACAGGTGGGAGAGGCAGTGAGAGACTTCATCCTGAGCTGCAGCCACAAGGAGGGCGAGATTGTCACCATTGGCATTGCCACTTGGGGGACCGTGTACAACCGGGAGAGCCTCGTCTGCCCCATGGTGAGCTGGGCAGAGCCAAAGGGGGGATTGCTTTGCCTACACCTCGGCTGCCGGGGAAGTCCTGCCAACAGCTGTGGTGGGAACAGCTGCTTCTGGATGTCACTGTGGCTGCCAGTCCCAGTACAACCCAGCTGCACCAGAAGGAGTGCACCAGGTCATAGAATCAAAGTCACAGAATGGTTTGGGTTTGAAAGCCCCTTAGAGATCATCCAGTTCCAAGGATGCCACGGGCAGGGACACCTTCCACTAGACCAGGGTGCTCCAAGCCCCATCCAACCTGGCCTTGAATACTTCCAGGGTCATGGGCTGATATTTGCTCGTGGGTGTGAGGGTATGTGGGGCAAGGCTGATGTGAGCGCTGGGGAGGGGGGCAAGGGACGGCTGTTTGGCCAGACTGTCTCCACATGCTGGCCCCACATGCTGGTTACTTTGGCTATCAGGTGCTCCTGTGCCAGGCTTCTCCCGGAGTGTCTCCTCCTGCCCCTTACAGGGTGGCTTTCCTGCTGAGTACGTGCTGGATGAGGAGAACCAAGGCAGCCTGTCGTGCCTGGACAGCAACCACTCCCACTTCATCCTGGTGGATGATGGGACCCATGGGAGGTACGGGGTGGAAATCCCCCTGAGGACCAAGCTGGAGAAGTTTATTTCGGAGCAGACCAAGGTGAAAGGAGGTAACAGCGACACACAGCCCGGCCTGAGGCAGGGATGGGCCATTTCCTGGTGAGGGTGTCCATCCTGGGCTCCAGGGAGTGGCTGTGGCATCCCTGGAGGATCTGGGCAAGCAACCTGAGAGGATTGCCATGATAAATGTAGAACCTGCTTCCTCAGTGACATAGATCAAAGACCCTTTCTCTGCCACATGATTGACTTACGGGGTCACCAAAGATGTCCCCAAACCTTGTGTTGCTGAGCTGATCAGGGAAAGTCATTTCTCCCAAAGGGCCAGGCTTCCAAGGAGCTTTCCAGGTGGCATCTTCTTGCTGTGCAGATGATTTTCTGTTCTAACACGTGCACACACATACAACAGCAAGCATGAATCATGGAATCAAAGAATATTCTGAGTTGGAAGGGACCCATAAGGATCCTTGAGTCCAACTCCTGGCCCTGTACAGGACACCCCCAAAAATCAGACACCACGTGTCTGATCTGACATGCCAGACAAGCACCTGCTATGATTTTTCCCTGCCTCTCCTGAAGCCTGACATGTCAGGGACAATGCTCCCACTTTGCCTTTCCCAACCCACCACTCAGAGGGGACCACATGAGGGGGATCTGCCCTATGGGGAGGTGACCCTGGATTTTGCTTCCCTGCAGGTGTTGCCATCAAGATCCCCATCGTGTGTGTGGTTCTGGAAGGAGGCCCCGGGACTCTCGATGTAAGGAACTGCTTCTGCCGAGCTGAGGATGGGGCAGGTGGTGGGGGCAGCTCCTTCCCGGGGTGCTGGTCTCGGTGTCGGAGCGAGCGCGGTGCCACCCTGACATGAGTGTTGGGAGCAGCAGAAAGGGTCTGCTGGTGTCTGGGTGGGATCGGGACCAGCCTCCCCACCCTGTTGCAGACCATCTACAACGCCATCACCAATGGGACGCCCTGTGTGATCGTGGAAGGGTCTGGCCGTGTGGCCGATGTCATCGCACAGGTGGCCAACCTGCCCGTGTCCAAGATAACCATCGCCTTGATCCAGCAGAAGCTGAGTGTGCTCTTCCACGACACCTATGAGCTCTTCACTGAGGGCAAGCTGGTGGAGTGGACCAAGAAGGTGAGCCCCTTGCAGGCTCCTCTGAGCTTGTGGAGACCAAAGGGGTCCCCAGGGGCCCTAGCCCATGAGCAGAAAGGCTCCAAGCAGGAAATTAAAGCTCATCTGCCCCCAGCCATCCTCATCATTGTCCTGGTGAGCACCCCGTGGCCTCGAGCTCTGCTCCTCTGCTGTCTGCTCCCTTTGGGCAGAGAGGGAGTGTTTGGGATCAACCACAGCCAGGCTGCGGGACACAGCACAGGGGTTCTGCAGGCAACCCGAGTGGAGTGAGGAATTGCCCTGCACAGGGCAGGGAGCTGTGGGAAGCAGCAGGGAGGAGATGCTGCTGCTGATATCTTGCCCATGGCTCTTCCTGTAGATCCAAGACATAGTGCGGAGCCGGCAGCTCCTGACCATCTTCAGAGAGGGCAAATATGGCCAGCAGGATGTGGATGTGGCCATCCTCCAGGCCCTCTTCAAAGGTGAGGGGTGAGGGGCTGCTTAGGAGGATGGGGCAAGGTGAACAGGTTGGGGGTCAAGTCACCTCCTGCAGCTGCCTGACTTACAGGATCACCAAAGTGGTCCCCAGACCTTGTGATGCTGAGCTGGTTGGGAAGAGATGTT